ACCACCTACAAGTTCAGTGTGACCTTCCGTTCACAACTGACAACCATTTATCTGTCACCGATGTAGGGAATTTATGCAGGCGGATGGGCACGTGCTAACATGCTGAACACTGCACCCTCTTTTGACACAGCAGGAACGCATGTGATATTTTCCTACACCAAATGCATGCTCACAACTGTTTGTTGGATGATAACAGAGAGGTTTATGTAGTTCTCTGTCTATGTAATCAGAAGATCAGCACACCTCTGGTTTTTTGTACAACCACCACATAGCAGGAAACATGGTGGCATGACTGAACAGCTTCTGTAAAAGATAAAGCCTGTGCTTTATTAGAATAGTGGTATCATAGCACATCTGCCCGGCCCATATGCTGTGTGTGTGACTGGCCACACGGTAGAACCATATCTCATTCAAAGATCCACTGCAACCAAATAGGCTTTACTCATGTTGCCACATCAAATAGTTGTCTTAAAAACTAATTGTATTAGTTGTTTTGCAGGTTATTGTCTTGCTGTTGGGATGTCTACAGGATACACATTGGAACCTGCAGAGGTTTAATCTTATTTCCAGATGTTTCATTCTCTGGCCATTATTCACATGTGCGAGGAATTTTAGAATAATGCCTTGTGGAGATTTACATCATCTATCATCAGTAATGCATCTGCATGGCGAGGCATGTGAATTTCCTCAGAATGAAAAAAAAAACTTACGCTGATTTTAATATTACAAACAGTCACTGGCTGCGGCTTCTTTGCAGCCCAGAGGTGTAGCAGTTTGCAGTCTTTCTGTAATGGAACTTTGTGTGGGCTGAGGGCTCACTGACGTCGGGCCTCACAGAACCTCCACATGAAAATGCTTTTTGCAGTGTCATATTGTGGAGAATAGATACAGTTATCCAGACGACTACAGCGGTGGATTGTGCAGTGGATCAAACAGGCTGGTCTGGGGTGCATTATATCAGATTTCATTTTGAGTTGAGGCCCTCCATTCATTTCTGACATTTACAGTTGGATCGGTGCACCCCTCTTCAAGGCCTCTTGGCTCTCAGTCTGCATTGAGGCCCCACCAGCAACTCTGGAAAAACCCAGTGCATCTGACTTGCATTGACTGGTTCCACTTGTGTGTTCTGTTTGGCCCATGCCGCCAGAGGAGAAGAGTGGGCTGATTACCAGCCGCCGCTCGGAGACTAATATGATGTCATCCTCCCGCTCCGCCATAACAGACTGCAGATGAAAGGGGTTGGGCCTCTCAGTAACCTTATTCACTCAACAACAAGCAGGAAAGCATAAAAAAATGCTACTGAATATTCATGAACATTTACATTTTCTTCATCTTATCACAGCCTAAAGGGAGGGAAGCACACCGGAGATAGCAAATATAATAGGTCACTGTTTATCTCATGAGCCAGAGCACCTTGTTTGAGAACAGTGATAACAGCCCATGAGAAAATAGTGGGAATGCCATTGTGTTTTAAGGCCTGTGCATTTCACAAATGTGAGGCGGAAGTGAGTTGTCAGAGCCAGAACCTTAGAAGTGATATCAAGGTGCCCCACCCAAAAGAAAAACTACCTGTATAATAAAGTTCTTTGCTGCCTTGCATTTTCAGCGTTACTCCCTCATTCCCTGGAAAGCTGCATTCAGCCAACAGCATACTTGCATATCAAAGTTTAACATTTATGCTGAGGGTGGCGGAAAAAACAGACAAAGATGTCAACTCATGTACTCATTCACACTCCAAATACATGCTCAAGTGCTATACAAGAATGCCTTAAGTCTTCAAGCCACATCAGAGAATCCGAAGGGGATTGTGGGCTGCAACAGATCTCCTCTCATTTCCTCACAAACTCTGTCTCCAACGCCACAAAACCGCACACTAGCCGATTATATAATCTAATCAAGTCATATAAAAGATATGAGGATAAAGGTATCAACAACTGTCAGCATTCATTCATCTGTAGACATAGACACTGTTTACAGGCAAAACAAGATGCAAGGTATGTGTGGAATTATTCACTGGTGTTTCTTCCAGTTTAACAGTAGATCTTTGGTTGATTAGTTGTTATGATCTGTTGCCTATTAAGTTAAATGCAAATCAATGAGGATACTACTTTTTTTCCTGTGTATATATATTCAGAGATATGCTGGAGCTTTACTCTGAGTAGGTAACATGACAATGAGAGAGATCGAAGAGCTTTTTTTTCTCAAATTCAAGATATCAATTAGACTCCAGCCATGCTAACATCTCTAGGTATGATTAGGTGTATTTCTCCAAATGTATAACTTTATTTTATAATTTGGCCCACAAGTCAAAAGGGTTGGTAATCACTGCTTTATTCATTCTCTCTATATTTTGCTGCAATTGAATCAAGTCATATAAGTCAGGTTTGAGAAGCTAAGGAACAAAGCTGTATAGGTACAGTGGATCTTTGAGCTAAATGCTAATATTAGCATGTTAAAATGCCTATAATGAAATAAATTATTATAAATTCATCATTTTAGGGGTTCAAGCATACTAACATTTGCTAATTAGCACAAAGCATAGATGAGGTTGATGAAAACACCATTAGTTTTGAAAGTATTAGTAGCCATAAACCAAAGCATTATAAACTAAATCATAAACATGGCTACAGTTCATCCCAAGGGGAACGTGAATATAAACGTCCATGGCAAATCAATCCAACAGCTGTTGAGAAGTTTCACTTGAAACTACAAACATTAACCTCACAGTGGTAGAGGAAATGTCAGGGGATCACCAAAGTCGTTGGGATTTACCCTTTGGGCACCATTGATAGCTGTACAATATTTCTTGCAAATCCATCTTATAGATGTTGAGATATTTCAGCCTGAACCAAATTGTGTTGAATGGATAGAGTGACACTGCCATCCCTTAGCGAGGCTTAAAAGAAACCTGTAGTCTTGAACACTAAACCCCACTAAAAAACTGTATGAGAGATCTAGCCTGCAAAATACTCAAATGTCATTTAAAAGGACCATAAATTACATTCTTCTGCTTTTCTCTTCCCCATAGCTAAAGATATATTATCAAGATTATCTGTTGGTATTTGTTATGGGAAAGTAAAAAGACTGACAGTAAATTCCCCTCTAAATCTTCACAAACCACAGTTCAGATATAGCTCAAGAGAGGGAGGG